ATATAACATCGAATTTGTAATATTATTCATTCCATTATCTATGTCGGAATGAGACTGGTGATAAAAGAAAGAGAAGGCTCTTAACATGGGAGATTGTTGTTATGTATATCATGTAGGAGATAGAGAAAGTAAACATGTCATAGCAATATATTCATTGTAGAAAAAAGTATGGATGAGAAAGAATATCTTAACAATACAAGAAGTGTATAGAAAGATAGAGAGATAGATAGACAGACAGAGAGATAGATAGACAGACAGATGGCCAGACAGGAGCAGATAGACAAATACATCTCTTGTATTGTAAATATATTAATTTTCATTCATACCGTTTCTACATTTGTCAACATGAATACGGTTCAAGTATCTTCTTTTCTTATCTTACAGTATTTATTCTTAATCAAAAAAAAAAAAAAAAAATCTGTCGTGAAATGATTCAGATCGAAGAAAACAGAAGACAGGAGAAGAGAGAAATAAAAAAGAAAAAAGAAAAGAAGAAAAAAAATGGAGTAACAACGAACCGAAAGAAACATAAACACATCGACATCCCCCCCCCCTTCCTTGCTTACCACTCTCCCACTCGATTCCCAAAAATCAAAAACGTCGAACACAAATCAATCGAGTAATTCAAAACGTGCCAAATATGTCGAACTGAACCGCGCATACGAAATCGACGACGGGCCGGCTCTTCCTCCTCCTACGGGCCCGTTTCCTCGGTCAAACGGCAGCCAATTAAACGCGGAGACCGTCAGCTGAGCGAGATCAAACGACCATTCGTCGACGCCTGGGAAGGTCGCGGGAGGAAAGGGGCGCGGGGGGGGGGGGGGCGTCTGGAGAAAGGGCGGCGGACTTTGGATCAGGTGATATAAGGGGGCTCTGTATTTCTTTGTCTTATTTTCCCCGTATTTATGTGTCTGCACCTGTCTGTCTGTATGTATGTCTGTCTGTCTGTCTGTCTGTCTATCTGTGTATCTGTCTGTCGGTCTGTCTGGTTGTATGTATGTATGCATGTCTGTCTATTTGTCTTTCGGTCTGTCTGTCTGTATGTATGTATGTATGCATGCCTGCCTGTCTATCTGTCTGTCTGTCTGTCTATCTGTTTGTCTATCTATCTGCCTGTCTGTCTGTCTATCATTCTCTATCTCTCTCTCTCTCTCTCTCTTTCTCTCATTTCTTACTTTTTTTTCTAAAGGAATATAAGAGTGATGCGTCACGGAGAAAATAACAGCATTAGTTGTATGTCATTCACCTTTCAACGAAGGAAAACTTATCCGAGCATGTTCTGACCCCGGGTTAACTTTTGCTCTCAGGCATAACTTTATGTTACTTTAAATTCATGGAAAAATAAATTTTGAATGATGTATAAATAATATAATGAGCCCGTCTTCTTTAGTAATTAATAATTTACGCGATATACCTTTACCTTTAGTCCTTTATTTACCATTTATTTACATTTAATGGATGCACCTCCACTCAAATTGGGTGTGTGAGATCCTTAGAGTTTTACGTCCACAACGACCGGAGAAACCCATAAATGCTATGTCATTAGTAAATACTGCCGCTGTAACATTCTACGAGAGAAAAGTTGCCACATTCATTTTCTTTTTTTACCTGTTTGATAGTTTAGTATGCAAATGATGTAAGGATATGATTTTAAGAGAAATGCAATGTAACATTTCAACGATAAAGATCTTATTTTTGTGGTACAAATAAACTAATTATTCGCGCGGTTGTGCCCATCTGTTCATTCATGTAGGAATACACACTTATTTTTGCGTGCGTCTGTATATTTGTTTGAGTATATTTATGTCTATGATTGTCTGTTCCTGGGTAAACGTCAGTGTGTATGCACGTGGCTTAGCACTTTCTTACGAGTGGATTCATGCACGCAAATCTACCAACCTCCTTTGCGAAACAGCAACATAAACTGAGCACATAAAAATCCATCGTGAGTGCATTCATCTCTACACACGTTCGACTGTATGAAAATACCGAAGTATATCCTCCGCGGTAATCAGGCCTCCGTTTTCTAAGCTCCGCCGGATTATTTCGACCTGCTGAGTTTTCCAGCTCTCCCTAACAAGCATGAACGACTTGCGTACATGATTCGCCGTTACAAACTACTCGGTGATAGTTAATGAGCTAACCCCAATTAACGATGGTCGAATCGATAAACAGGTAATTCATGTAGGCACTGTACCATGGGCATAAATATATATACATATATACATACATACTATATATATATATATATATATATATATATATATAATATATATATATATGTGTGTGTGTGTGTGTGTGTGTGTGTGTGTGTGTGTGTGTGTGTGTGTGTGTGTGTGTATATATATATACAAATGTATACATATACATATATATATTTATGTATGTATGCATACATGTATGTTTCTATGCATATATATATATATATATATGTGCATACAGACAAACACACATACAGAAAGATAAATAGATGTATATATAAATATATATATATATATAT